GCACACACATACACATTTATTTTAATGGAGTTACTGATGAAAATACATTCTCATAATACAATATTATATGCATCTCTATGTGTATGTGCAAAACAAGTAACCCACAGTCCTACTTCTCATAAACATTTTTTCTTAACAATAGGTAACTTTCATTTCAAACATCTTTCTGTGAATATATACAGGGAAATGGCTATATAGATATAGATATAGAAATGGCTATATAGATATTAATGTCAGTTGACTGCCTCTCCTAGTTGTTTTTGTAGACAGTTATTTAATTCTAAGATCTCTAACTGTGCTAACAATCTTACAGAGTTGTACCGGAATTAAACAAATTAACATTTGTATGAGGCGTCAGCCAGTTCCTGGCACACAGGGAACATTATGTGTGTGTTAGTTGCCATCATCACAATGAGGGCACTGACCCAGAGTGACCTGAGCGGTCATGTTACAGGCTGCAGTGGGGCAACGGTAAGCCAAGTAGGCAGAGAAAGACCCAGGCATCTCTGTATCAAGCTCTGGAATACCTGAAGCCATCAGAGCAGTCTTCTGGCTTAGCTGGCAGTGCCCAGTGCCAAGTGACTTTAAATCAGAGTCCGTGAGATAGCTGCAAACAGCTATAAGCTCTTTGGAAAAGTGCTGTAGATCTTAATTAAAAGTTAAACTTCATGTACTGTCCGTGTGGAGACCTTTCCAGGTTTAGCACTTATTCTGTCTTCTCCCCTCCCACTTTCTCCCCCCATCCCTGCATATACACACACACTCACACATATGCATGTAGCAAGAGGAAGGTCTTTTCATGCTTCTGCTTGAGAAACTTCCCTGGCCCCACACAGTCTATAGGATAAGGTCCACACTCCTTAGTTAAAGCTGTCTTCAGAGGATGGCCCTAATACTTTCATCTTCTTTTTTTTTTAACACTCCCCATCATTTAGTGCAGATTGACACACAGTTATTGAGGGCCTCCTCTGTGTCAGGCATGGTGTTAGATGCTAGGGATGCAAAGATGAGTGAGATACAGTTATGTCCTTGAGAAACTAAATGATTCAGCAGTGGTGGGCGGGGGGTGAAGATAAGGATACAGGACCTTAAAATCCAGTTTGAAAATGATGTAAAGAGGGAAGCAGAATTTGCTTTAGAAATAAAGAATAGGGGACTTATCAGAGTCTTAAGTACAGCAAAGAAAGTATCAGAGAGAAGGTGACATCTAGGCAGAGGTGAGCAGGAATTATTCTAGTAAATAAGGCAGGGAAGGTAACATGTACAGACAGGGAGGAATAAAATAGTGTTGTGTGTAGATGAGAGTTACAAGCAGCCCTTGATACTAGAATGTAAATTGAGAATCATGAAGTGGTGGTGAATGAAATTAGAGAGGTCGTAGGAGGGTGAGGGAACTCTGTATGCTAGGTTGAAACACTTGGGTATATCCCATAGAGCTATGAAAACACTGGTAAGTATTGAGCAATTAAATACAATGGACAGATTTGTATTCTGGATACATTATCTAGTAGCAAGGTGAAAAAACAGACTTAGAGGCATGTAGCATAAATTTGGGAGTAGAGAAATAAACTGGGAGATTACTTCAATAGTCAAATGTGAAATGCTAACTTAGCCAAGGGAAAAGTTTTACAAATGAGAGGAGAGGAGGGATAAAAATATCCAGCAGTGCCAATAGGAGAACTTGCTGAGTGACTGGATATGGGTGGCCAGGAAGAGGGAAGTGTTTATATGACTCACTTCTTTTTGTTTGGAGAAATGAGGAGAATGATGGTGCCATTCAGAGCCTCAGTGCTGCATACTCTTTCCAATATGATCTTCTTCACTTAAAAAAACTTTAATTTACTTTTTCTTTTGTGGCCACACCATGCAGCAGGTAGGATCTTAGTTCCCTGAATTAAGGGGGAATTGAGCAGGAATTGAACCCGTGCCCCCTGCATTTGAAGCCTGAAGTCTTAACCCCTGGACTACCAGGGAGGTCCTTGTCTTCACTGGTTTAAAAGTGAACTTAAAGACTATGCCTCAAGACTAAACCTTTAAAATTTCTCCAGGGTTAGGTGTGCCCCTTCTCCATTTTTCCATAATACTCTGCTCATTCCTCCCCTGTAGCACTTGGTAGTGAATATACAGATGTAATTTTTTTGTCCTATGTTTCGTAAAACTATCACAATGAACATGGTCTACTTTGTCATTCAACAGAAAAGAATTTTATTATTACTATTTGGACTATAATAATGTGCTGGGAAAACTGGAGTTAAAAAACAGACATAGTTCTTATATAATTTACCATCTTGTTGGGAAAGAGATAAGACTCTTTCCCTTTCCCAGGAGAGGTGGTTATTGTTTACATGTTTTTCTCCCACTAGATTATTAAGTTTCTTGGAAACTTAGACTAATTTTATATTTCCAGTTTTTCTATTACATTTTCTGACACACACTCAGGCCTTAATTTGTTAAATTAATTCATACTTGAAAATCTCAAAGACATCTCCAGCTGATCTTGTCTAAAACCAAGCTACTGATCTTTATCAAAAAAAAGCACTTATTTCTTCAGTCCTCAAGGCAGAAAATTGGGCAGCCTTACTTAATATCCATTGCAACCAATCATCTGTATGTCCTGTTGATTCTACTCCAAAGTATATTTGAAATCTTCCAATGCACTATTCAGCCCAAGACACCAAGAGCTTTTGGTGCCTGCAGTGGCAACCAGTGTTAACCACCCCATCTATCTCCCTGGTTTCCCTTTCCATTTGTCTCCAAATTATCCTCCCCCACAGCAAACAGAATAATATTTTAGAAGTATGCATCCAATCATGTTTTCTTCTTCTACTATACTCCCTGCAAAGGTTTCTCATTGCAATTAGTGTTAACCACACAAATCCTGAACCTGTTCTATGAGGCTGTATCTGAACTAGGCTCTGCTATCTTTATGATCTCTTATCACGTCGTTTTCTCATTGGCTTATCCATAAATAGACCTTTTTTTCTTAGCTAGAAATGCCCTTCTCATCATTTTTTGATAGCTATATCTGTATTTATCACTTAGGTTTCTGCTAATTTTCACTTCTTTAGAGAGATCTTTTATGATCACAAATTTAAATTATGTCTCCCCTGCTATATTCATTTTCTAAAAAATGTATTCTTTTGCTTCATACTCCTTAACACAAGTTGTCTGTGCCTGTGTATGTGGCATAGGGGAGGGAGGGAGAGGGAGAGAGTCCTATCTCTCTCCCAACAAGATGGTAAATTATGTAAGAACCATGTCTATTTTTTAACCCTAGTTGTATCCAGCACATTATTCTAGTGCAAATAGTAATAATAAAATACTTTTCTACTGAATCAATGAAAAAGACGACCATGTTTCATTGTGATAATTTTACAAAACATAGGACAAAAGTTTACACCGGTATATTCATGTTCAAGGGGCTTAGCCATGTAGATAGTTGAATCTGTGAAATAGTTGTTCAATTTAATGATAATCCATATTGAAATTAGGAATTATGAATAGAAAAAAAGTAAAGAAATAGTATAAAGGAACAGATCACCAGTAGTGATTTTTATTTCCCTCACAAGAGAACCAATCATGTTTTTTTTTGTTTTTCTTACATTTTTACTGTATGTGTGTGTGTGCATTATTTCATCTGTTTAGCCAAGTTTAATAAACACTCTGTGTCCCGCCCTGATGTGGCTCTGGGCACACCAGGATTTATGAGTATCAGAAAGCTTATCATCTGTGGTGAAAATCGGACTCATATGCTGTCACATGCTACTTGGGTGTTTTATTAAATCAGAATTTTTAGTTTTTTTTTTTTTTAAGAAAAGGGAAGTTTTCTGCATAAATACCACTTACGGAAAACTAAGTCTAATGTGAGCTGGTCTCAGAGGGCCCAGAATCACAGGATTTTTAGAACCAGGCTTTTGCAATAAGCTAATATAGCTACCATGGATAATCTCTTGTCCTGTGAGGAATCCAGTCGAACACCAGTTACGTTATAATCTAGCCTCTAGGAGTTTGTGTTAAATCCATCTTAATTGTAAAATGACTAGATGACCTGACCTACCAGGTGGGCCTTCTGCCTGGAATGTCTTTTTCTCTTATTTTCCTGGAAAACTTAGTTTCACAGGTCCGCTTCTCATTCTTTGTGTTCACAAATCTGCATCCTTTGCTTCATTGTAATCATACTTTTACTTTTTGCCTCTCATTAACTTCTTGACAATAGAGTGGCATGTCTTTATTTTTATATATTTCAGTGGTAGGCAAATATGTGCATAATATGCATTTACTAAAGGTTTATTGAATAAATTGGAAGGAAAGATGGAAGATATTCTTTTTTCATATTGTAAAGATTAGAAACAGCTATAAAATATCATTTTGAGAAGACAGTGACAATAATTTCCTAACATTTTTGGAGGAAGAAACTCCTAAACCAAAACATCATGAAAAAAACAACAAAAAACAACCCTCCCAAAGTACCCCCCAGACCAGGGAGAGATGAATCTTACCCTGTGTTGACATTATTTGAAAACTCATTAGTTAGAGGTTTCTGGTTTAGGTTAAGGATAAGCACTAAGAGAAACACAGGGTTTTAGACCAAATTCTACCTAATTCTGTGCTATCCTTTGGTCCTTGGACATGCCATGATATCTTTTAGTCTCTTCCTAGCCAATGTTTCTCTCTCTATGCCTCAAATCACAGTTAACTGGGGTCCTTCCTAGCAAATTCTGGGAATATCCTGAAGATGGGCTGAAAATGCCCAGTAGACAACCTAAGGATTCTGATCCAGTTTAGCGGTGAAGGCAGGAATGCAGGCTGATTTCTCTCTGAGATACAGGATTTTCATGATTAGCCCTGGTGTTGGGAAGGCTTCTGTTCCCAAGGGAACTCTTTGTTGCATAAACGGTCCCACCGCGATGAGGACTGCTGGGAGACGTGCCCCCCTCCCACGGCTGTGTCCTCTCCGAGTTTCGAGGGAGGTGCCTGTGCTGACATTGTGATGCGTGTACCTGTGAGGTCGTCAGTGGGCCAGGACCCCAGCTGGCACGCCTTGCAGGTGTACTCATCAAAGACGTACTCGTTCTCCTTGCAGGGTGTGCAGGTCCAACAGCAGCTCACTTCTCCCTTTCGGATCACCTACGGCGAATATCGACATTTTCGATTACTTTTTTTTTTCTCACATCGATAAAAATACAGCAATTTTTTATTCAAATGTACTGCTTTACAAAGCAGAAAGGGGCTTGCACATAAATTATTTCAAATGTTTTTGGTTAGGCAGTATGAATATGGATATTCTCATTTTATAAAGAAACAGGCTGAATTGAAATAACCAATCCAACATCATAAAACTGGTTGGAGACAGGGTCAAGAATGAAATTAAGTGTAAATCTCTGGATAACTAGCTTTAGCTACCTGTATTAATGAAGTGACTGTATTTGTGCTCACAAGTAAATATGTATACATTTCGATATGTGTATATGTAACTGAATTTCCCCCAGAGTTTGTGCCTTTCTTTGCTTCAAATTATGAATTTTTGCTTTCTGGACTTCCCTTGGCTTCCCGCCACTAGTTGAATAATTGTTAGGGGAAAAAAAAAAAAAAACCCATGGTATGTCTATTAAAGTTTAAAAAAATCTATCTATATTGATAAAGCAATTAAGAATTTGTTTTGAATTCAGAGGCAGAAGATGCTTTTTCTGGAGATCACTTCTTAGACTGTTTCTACTAAAAATCTGGCTCAACAATTCATCCCATTCCTTCCTATTCTAGTAGTTTTGATTTGCTTGGGATGAAGAGGGGTAAGGTCACTGAGACTATTATATTCCTCTTCACCTGTTTGATTTTTTTTTAAGGCAATGGAAAATAATTGAAATAATTTAACAGCTGAAAGAGTCCCAGATGTTATTCTTTAGAAATATGACTCTTCCCCCCCACCCACCAACGGTACATGAATAGCCTCTGTGGAATAGAGACAGCATTCATTAAACATTCCTATAAATAATTAAATCTGTGATTAATAACTAGACACAGAAGTGATTACACTTCAGATTCCTTGTCTGAGACGCTGATTCTGTTAACAACCTTTGATGATAATGTCTGGATTTCTGTAGCCAAACACAGTTGTAAACTGGCACGCCTTTCTTCTATTCTGTACTGTCCCTCGTGCTGACTTTTGGCACTCCAGCAATACAAGTAGGAAGTGATGACAAAAGGATCTGAAACATCCTTTCCCTAAAATAACCAGATAAATGAGGCAAAATTGCTAATCAGACCTGTTTCATTTATCTAAAGCTTCCTTCATAAGAATATTGACTATTTACAGGTAATTTGGTGTATACCATATGGTGTCATCTCATTGGAACTTTGGTATAGCTCTGCATAAGGTAGCTAGTTTTATTTTATTCATTTTTTTGTAGGGGGAGGAGAAAACTAAAGCTTAGAGAGTTCGCACAACATGTGGGTAAATGAGAGATCAAATAATGTCTGTTGGACTTTGAGGTCATGCTCATAAATATTGAGCCTTATTGGTTTATATAAAGATAGGGTTCATGATATTTTGAAATAGGTGGAGGAAAGAGAATCAAGGTACCAAAGTTCCAGTCTTACTTATGGTGTTGTTCAGTTACTCATTTGTGTCCGACTTTGTGACCCCACGGAACGGTAGTTCACCAGCCTCCTCTGTCCTTGTGATTCTCTAGACAGGAATACAGGGTTGCCATTGCCTCCTGCAGGGGATCCTGCCAACCCAGAGTTTGAACCCAGGTCTCTTGCATTGGCAGGCACATTCTTTACCACTGAGCCACCAGGGAAGCCATCTTGCTTAGAGCCACTAAATAATTGTGTAGCCTGGAGCAGTCTCCTAGCTGATTCTCTTTCTTCCAACCAAGACTAATGCTTTTGAAATAAAACCTGTGTTTAGAGTCCCCTGAGGATTAAATCTGTAGAGAAGGGAATGGCATTCTTGCCTGGAAAATTCTGAGGACAGAGAAGCCTGATGGTCTATAGTCCATGGGGTTGCAAAGAGTCAAGCACAGCTGAGCGAATCGAGTATCACGATGATTTGTAAACTGTGTGTGTGTTAGTCACTCAGTTGCGTCTGACTCTTGTGACGCCATGGACTGTAGCCCGCCAGGCTCCTCAGTCCATGGGATTCTCCAGGCAAGAACACTGGAATGGGGAGTCATTCCCTTCTCCAGGGGATCTTCCCAACCCAGGAATGAAACCCAGGTCTCCTGCACTGCAGGCAGATTCTTTACCATCTGAGACACCAGGGAAGCCCTTGTAAACTGTCGAATACTTTTAAATATTAACTATTTTATTAGTAATATACATGTAAATGCCCACATAGAGATACGGATTTCATTTTCAGGGTATTTTCAACCACACTTAGTAAAAAACTATCATTAAGACAGTTAGTAGATTTTGTAATGCAAGGAGGCACATTTCAAATGCTGAAGGATTCTTTCTTTTTTTTTTTTTTAAGGATTCTTTCTTAGGAGCCTGGCAAACAAAAGCACTTGCATTTTTCCTCTTAGAAATATGCTGACTTTCTGTGATTCAACTCACATGGCTTTATAAATTTCAGTTTTTTACCAGAATAAGCTCATGACCTTTTCCAAGATTAATTCAAATTATTGCCATCTTTTTGAATTAATAGTGACAGTGTAATGTCTTCTTCTGATCATTAAGAACTGGTTTGTTTTACCTTTTTTCACTTGTTATATATGTTCTGTTTCATACTCATTTTGAATACAAGAGGTGGTGACAATTCTCTTTCAGACCAATTTCCAATCATTTTGAACACCTTGGAAGTAGTGTGCTTTCCTTATCATTAACAATATATAAAATATTTGACCCTTTGCCAGACTAAGTGTCCTTTCATGGACCCTAAATTAACAAATTTGATCAATGCTGTGAGGTGTTGAGATCATTAGGGAAGCTGTTCAATGACCATGTTAAGCCATATCAAGAAAGTGTAGTCAGTTATATATTTAATGGAGTGAAAATGATATCTGGTTAGGAAAATAGAATTTGGGATTAAAAAAGACTACATAAACATTACAAGAAATTAACTAGTATTGAAAATATGGTAACAGGGAGTTAAGTTCTTCCACTGGGTAAGTTATTCCCAGGAGAAAGGGGTAGAAAAGCATATATAAAGAAATCTCTTGAAACAAGATTCAACATTTTGAAGTTACAGGTTCAAACTGTATTGCTGTGAAGGGTCAAAACAGACCACTTCCATGTGGTGATATTTACAAGCTAATCTTTATATGGGAAGGACTGGAAATTATGGACAATTGATATTTTAAGTGAGTCTAAAAAGAGTTTCACATGAAGAGTTTAATTGCAAGATGACTGGTTGGCCAAGATGCAGATGGTCACTGAATATTAGGAGTTGGCAACGTTTTTCTACAAAAGACCAGATAGTAAATATTTTTGGCTTATGGTTGATAGCCAGGACTGATCAAGGCTACCTCTACAATGTTTCTTTCAAATACCTCCCCACCCACTTTCCATTCTCACTGTTTCTTCCATAATTCAGGGCCTTTGTCACCATGGTTGCAGAGTTCTTTTAACTTGTCTCTTCTTTCTTTATTCATTTCTCATAACTCTTCTCATGAATCTTCACTACTCAGATGGTAAAGAATCTGCCTGCAATTCAGCAGACCCGGGTTTGATCCCTGGGTCAGGAAGATCCCCTGGATCTGCAGTATTCTTGCCTGGAGAATCCCATGGACAGAGGGGCTTGGTGGGTCACAGTCCACAGTTTTGCAAAGAGTTGAACATGACTGACTAACACTTTGGCCTTCATATGTCAGCATCTTGGACAAAATTTTTTGACTCCTGGTTAAAAGGAAGTTCAGCCTGTTTAGTATGGTATCTAGAACTCTCCACAAATATGGCTTCAATCTATCATTGCAGCTTTCTCTTTCACAGTAACCATTTAGAGCACTGCACCCTAGCTTAATTCACTGTTATTCCAGAACAATCTGACCACTTCTGTACTTTTCCTGTTGTTGTTCTCTCTATACAATTGATGACTTCCCTGCATCCCTCTCTGATATCATATCCACTTTTCATGGTTCAATGTCTGACATTTTACTGAGAAGACATTTGTTCCTTTCTTCTGTAAGAACTTATTTAAGCTCCTTTTTATTTTCTTTCTTTTAATGAAGTCATCAAATTTTATATAACATTACTTCTCTGTGCCCACACTGTTTTTCCTCATTGAGACTATTAATCTTGTGAGAGTAAATATGTCTTACTTATTTTTGCCCCACAGATGTAAACTATTACATTAGAGGAGTTTGATAAATATTTGTTGTTAATTAGAAATTGATATCAGTTCCAGCTGTGAACTCTTTATTCCCAGGAAGCATGTCTTCTAAAGGCTTACATGAGTAGACAGGGTGTAAGCATGACTCACCAGCTGGTTCAGTCAGTCCAACTACTAAGACTGTTCTGGGTTTTACTAAGTATTGAAAGGACTTAATAAGAAAAGAATTAAATGTTTTTGACATTAGAAGCTTACTGTGGAAAAGGCAAAGCAAATGTCTCAACTTGTTAAAAACATTCAGTGATAATGAATACTTTTGAACTTACAACAAAAATGAAAGAAACACAGGCTCTATTTTACCTTTATCTGGCCTTTTTCACATGGTTCGCTGCACACAGATCTGATGATGTGGCTTTTCTTGGCCCATACTTCATCATCATCCATTTTTAATTCTCCATTGTCCCAGCTTCCAACATTGATATAATCAAAATAATCTTTTCCCATTTCTTTGAAGTTCATTATTTCATACCTTAGAAACAAGAATATAGTGATTATTCAGCTAAAATATAAACATTCAGCTATGAAAAAGCAATAGACTTCTGTCCTCCAAAATGCACCTATTGTCATATTAGTGACACTGGGATTTTCCATGACAGTACACTTAGAATAACAAAAAGCCTGTCTGTTCCACTTTCTCTTCAGAGACCTTTTTTTTTTTAAACTTTCAAGCTTACACCTGAAATAGAAAATAATCCCATGTGAGAAGGTGACTTGACCTCAGCATGATGAAAGACAGTTTTGGAATAACTTCAAGAAGTTTAAAGAAGTACTTCTTTAGGCTTCTTAAAAAGACAGCAAGGTTTTCATCTCCTCTGAAATAAAATGATAAATTTCCTTTGTTAACTAAGTGAGAAATTTGGTAAATCTTTAATCTTAGCTTCAGGTTTAGAGCATGTGGAGGTAATTTGGATAGGACCTGATCCTTTCTTATTTTATCCTTTATCAATGGCTAAACTCATTGTATAAAGACACTTTAAGGAATGATGTTTAAAATAGTTCTGAAAATTGATAGCTTCTAAAGTACCTTATGCGATGTAGAAATGCTGGAAGGTACTAGTACCTTGTGAATTCTCAGCCTTTATCATCTATTGTTCTTAGGCCATGTTGTCTGTTTTATATACTCATACTTACAAACCCCTACAATATAATGTTTATATTTTTGCTTTAAATAGTGACTTGTACTTAGTCTGATGTTGATTCTCCATGTTCTCTGCTCAGTTATGGTTATTCCCAGGCATCAACATGCGTGTGTGTACATGCGTGTGTCTGACTCTTTGCGACCCCATGGATTGTATCCCTCTAGGCTCCTCTGTCCATGGGATTCTTCAGGCAAGAATACTGGAGCGAGTTGCCATTTCCTCCTCCAGGGGATCTTCCCAACTGAAGGATTGAACCCAAGTCTACTGCCTGCATCTCCTGCGTTAGCAGGCAGATTCCTTACCACTGGAGCCACCTGGGAAGCCCCGGGTGCAACAGGGCCTCTTAAACCTTACTTTCCAGTGGACTCCCTATTTATCTGTTGGGGTCGGAAAACTTTGGCTATAAAGGGACAGATAGTAAGTATTTTAGACTTTGTGAGATGGCTTCTGCTGAAACTACACAACACTGTTAGAGCAGTGTGAAAGAGTCATAGACAGTATCTAAACAAATGAGACTTTTTGCAGTTATTTAGTTGCTAAGTTGTGTCCAATTGTTTGCGACCCCATTAGGCTCCTCTCTCCATGGAATTTTCCAGGCAGGAATACTGGTGTGGGTTTCCCTTTTCCTACTCTAGGGGATCTTCCCAACCCAGGGATCAAACCTGCATCCTCTACACCAGCAGGCAGATTCTTTACCACTGAGTCACCAGGAAAGTCCAAAATAAATTAAACTGTGTTCCAGTAAAACCTTATTTACAAAAACAGCAGACCTGATTTGGTCTGTGGAGCACAGTTTGCCAAACTGTGATCTATCCCGTTGGTGGTAAATAGTAAAGGTCCATATTTCTTGTCTATAATTTTAAAATCCTTAGAGCTCTTAAAAACCATAAGTTTTTTCATAATGCACATGGCAGCAAATCATGACCCGTTCTGAACTTATCTAGTGACAGAACTTGACCCACAGTGTCATGAGACTATTTATATGTCATTTATCACACTTAACTGTGAATATGCATATGTTTTGCAGTAGAAATATTAATGCATTGTTTAAGGAGTGCTGCTCCACAGTATGCTGGAGGCATTATATGACTGTAAACTTGTAAATCAAAAATTCAGAATTCTGTAACACACTTGGCCCAAGGGTTTCATTGAAGAACTGTATACTGATAATAGTCTGGTTATGTGAGACTTAAAAACAATGATTGAATTTGAGTCTCTAACAATCTGTAATTATGTGTGCCAGACTAAGCTGTCCCCTCTCCTAGCTTCCCCTGTTTAGGATCTTCCTCTCACGACCCCAGCATTTTAGGGGGACCCCTAATCACCGTAGTCTCCTCTGGTTTATGGCCCAGGTTGAAATGCCTTTGATCCAGCTGCAACTTTTACTCCAGAGAAATAACAACACAGTGCCTACAATACATTTCCAGGAGAATAAGGGCTTTTTTATTTTGATACTATAATTGGCAGGCTGTTATATCAGGTTAGGAGTTGAAGTCCAGAAGATGAGTTAGAATCTTGACTCTATTGTGTATTAGGCTGTATCTTTGGGCAAGTCATTTAATCTCTGTAAGCCTGTTTGTGAGCCTTCAGCTAGAAAAGAGTACGATAATATTACCTACCTCATAGGATTAAAATGTAGAGGATTTAGCTAAGTGTTTGCCTCAGAACAGACACTCAGTAAATATAAGTTGTAATTATCTTGTAACTATCACTGGATTCATTGGAAAAAAAAACAGAAAATTTGCAAACCACTTTTTTCTGAGTTTGGCTTGTATGCTCAGGGGCCAATTCTGCTCATTTATTAGTAGATTACTGTAATATCCAACCTTAGTAATGAATGAGAAGTCTCTAAAGAACTGTGAATTCCCAGAAATTGTTTGGAAAATATTATGGATATTGTCCATGAGAGAATACTTATAAATCTCATCTGAGTCTTAAAGAGATTCCTGTTCTGCAAATGATTGTGAATGAGACAGTAATGTTCACATCTGTTAAGCTTTCCCACTAGAATGGAGCTGAGCCATCTGAGCTATTTCTTCATTGTCTGGTTTCTGGAACTGACTTAGGTACATGTCATGAAAACCATTTGAAGGGATGGAGCTGCAGTCCACAAAGGCTATGAACAGACCCCAAGCTGACGTCAGTGCTCCAGGGAGGTACACACGAATCATAAATCCACGGGGAGATGTCAGAGCCCAGCCTTGACCTGACCCTACAGCCTGAGCTCATCCATTGACCTGCCCTAAGAAGTTCTGGAGAAGGAAATGGCAACCCATTCCAGTATTTTCACTTGGGAAATCCCATGGACAGAAGAGCCTGGCAGGCTACTTGTTCATGGGGTCACAAATGACGTGACTTAACAACTAAACACCAAACACCAAGATGTCTTACAACGAATGTAAAGCTCTCTTTGGCCCCGAGTAAATGCTTACATTTCTGCCAAGTAGAAAACAATATATGAAAAGTCTTATCTTGGCAAACAGCTTGCATGGAGCAGTACTCATCAACTCGCTAGAACAGAGAAAGTATCCAGCTTTCCTCTTGGCTGCATGACTTGGAACTGCTGTCACATAGAAGTTCAGCTTGTGAGATACTAACAGCTGCATCAGGGACAAACTCCACCTCGCATCAGGCATATGAAACAAGCTAGACCAAGGTGGCTGGTACCATGTGTGGGCACATGGCGTGTGAGTCATGGAGGGACTCATGGGACTTTCTCTTGGCAGGATCAGCTGCAAGCAGAGTGTGAATACACCCCCTCCAGGCATACCTGTCAAGCAAAAGCTGTGGCTAGAAAAATAGCAGGGGTTTTACAGTGGCCAACCCAAGCACCCTGACTGTCCTAATGCAGGGCAGATCGAAGACTCAGCCCTGCTATAAATCAGAATGTCACTTCAGTGACATTATCCCTCATGCATTAAAAGTCTCATGTGAAGAGTCACTTAAGAATTTAGAGTCTTAGATGTGAAAGATGGTAAGTTCTAGGTACTTAATGACTTCCCTGGAGGCTCGCCTATAATTATGAGTGAGTTCATATTTCTCAGGCTCCTCTCTGTAAGTGAAATGTAAAATTTTAGAGAAAAAGGCCATTTAGTCCTCAAGAAGGGAGAAAGTGTTACAGCTGGAGGATTCTAAAATAAAATATGACTTCTAACTTACTGTACCTACAACAAACCATAGAATAACACCTCAATCCTGTTTCTGGATTACCAGAAATGGAATTCTTCCAGTTTCATAATAGTTCTGTGACCCAAGAAGAGATCAGAATACGTAGAATAACAGGACAAGTATGTACAGAGAAACCATGACCTGGCTTTTAATTATCCATCTATACTGTGAGGTTCCTGCCTTTAAGTCTGGGTCTCTGAAGTGTGGTGATGGTTCCAAGAGCACGTTTTAGACATCAGCGTTCACTCTTTTTCCTGGCCACTGGGTATGGGGCTTCCTCTCTCCATCTTTACTCACTCTGTGATGTCAGAACTAAGCAAACATGTCCGGGAAGCATAGATAAACCACAGACGAGAGAAACAGGCCCCACAGGATCAAGAGACAGATCGATCAGGCTCTATTGTCTAGAGGAGAACTGTAACAGTACCTTCCTGGAGAGTCTCCATTCTCATCAAATAGGATCATGTCTCCAGAAACCCCAGTAAAATTGGTTTTCATCAGAGAGTCCAAAAGTTTTCGTCCATCAATTGGCTTCATGGCATCACAGAGGCCCGCGTAGCCTGGACAGAGGGACATCTGCATGTTGTGGAGCCCATAGGCCATGGAATAGATTGCATTGATCACAAATCCCATTTTGGAGTCTTGCACATGATGTGTTCTCAGAGTCAGAGAACCTATGGGAAAACAAATTAGGGATTAACTTTGAGATTTAATCCTACTATAGCTCTTTATGGATTCTGAATAATTTGACAATGCATTAGAACAATTTATAAGAATTAGAACCAGAGGAAATACCAAGAACAGGTGCTAAAATAGTATTCCTAATACTACTAGTATTCCTAATTCTCTTCTGTATTCACATTTTTCCCTAAGACCTTAAGGACCTGAATCCCCTCCAGTACCAAGATTCATTTCCTCTGTTACCAAATTCTGGGGATGGATGGAGTATAGCACTCCATCAAATTCCACAAAATTTATCTTAAGGGCACATTAATCTACCAAGTACTTAGCTGTGATAGTATACTTTCTTTGTTTAGATATCCTCAACAAATCTCCAGTTTCCAAATTATTAAGTCTTAGCTGAGCAAAGTAGATACCCTATTATCTTGCCTCAACTTACCCAGTTGGATTTATCACCTACTATTTTCAACCTCAAAGTATATGTGCTCCATAAATTGACCTATTTGGAAATTCTGAAATACAATATTTAAGCCCCATTAATTCATCCATTAATTAAATATTTACTGGAGCCTGAGTATACATAAAGCTCTGTGTATAGTAATCTAAGGAAAATATAAAAATGAATGGAGATGGATTCTGCACTTAAGAGGAGACTTGTTCAGTAATAGAGACAAATTATGTAAAACTGAAAGGCAGAAGGTAATAAATCTATAACAGATGTGGAGTTAAACTCCATTGAGGTCCAAAGTGGGGACAGTCACTTCCAATGGAGGGCCCTTGGGAATATTTCATTAAAGAACTAACATTTGGGATGAATTACTGGTTAAACAAATATGGAATGAGTGCCTGTTAGTTCTGACTGCTCAGAACTTGCTGAAAGTGGGGAACATAACGTAGAGTAAAATAGACATGATTATTGTTCTTGTTTACTTAGAGTCTAGAGGGCAGTGAGCATCTAAGCAGCTGAGTGCTAGGGCAGGACTGAATAGGGAGGAGCGCTAGACCAAGAAGCTCACTGATGCTGAGCACTGTGACTGAGTGTCTGCTGGATGAAGAGTGGGGGAAAGCAAGTTTGAAGGTTCACAGATGAGATCAAACACACTCTGTTTGGGAAACTTTAAAAAGTTTGGAATGTAGGGTAGGAGGTAGGAGAATGAGGAGAACTGAAAGAGTAGAGGAAGGCAGGATTGCTTAAGCCAGGTTAAGAGCCCTAGGATCTTTCGTTGTGTTTAAAACAGGAAGAAACGTGATCAGATTTCTAATTTAGAAAGATCAATCTGACTACATTGGAGAAACATTTAAAGGGCTACAGGAGTGGAGTCAGGAAGACCCATTAAGTGGTAATGCAGTGATCCCAGGGACAGGTGAAAATGCCCCTGCTGAGGGCAGAGGTCATGATTATGGACAGAAGTATCTAGGAGATGGAATCTACTACCAGGCCTGGTGATGGAGGAATGGAGAGGAGTGAAACATGTAGGAAGAACATGGGTATAACATAAAAGTAACAGATGAGGTAAAGACAGAACATTTCTTATGGGGAGGAGTTTTTATTTGAGAGAGAGATATAGGAACTCTCCAAAGATGACATGATTTTTTATGACTGTCAAATGGTACTCAGGCTCCTGGGGAAGCCAGCATGGTTCATCCTGACATAAGTGTAAGATGGGTAATCTTGTTTCCATCTCAGGACAAGACATTGGCCCTAGGCTACTTTCCAACCAAATCTTACAATTTCCTTTTCTACACAGACTTGATTCACACTTTGACATCTCACCTCATACCGCTGGAAATGCCATTGTTCTAAGTGCTAAGTCAGTACTTGGGAGTCACTTTTGACTTTTTTTCTTTCCTTCATTCACTGTCTACTTTTATTTGATCTATCTTCAAAATATATCCAGAATTAAATTATTTGATGCAAATCTACTTCTGTCAGGTTCAAGATACATATCCTGTCTGGATTACAGCAATAGTCTTTTAACCACATACTTTCTTTCCACCTTAAACTATTCTGAGGAGAAGGGGACAGCAGAGGATGAGATGGTTGGATGGCATCACCAACTCAATGGACGTGGGTTTGGGTGAACTCCAGGAGTTGGTGATGGACAGGGAGGCCTGGTGTGCTGCAGTTCATGGGGTCGCAGAGTCGGACATGACTGAGCAACTGAACTGAACTGATACCCACTCCAGTAAGTTTCTAATGCAATAGTTACAAAAATATTCTTAAAATAAGAGTCAGATTATGATACTCCTCTGATCAGACTTTCTAGTGGCTCCATTATTACCAAAAGAAAAAGCCAATGTCCAAGCCATGACTTCCAAAGACAAACAGGATTTTGACTCATGATAGTTCACCCCTTATTCGTCTGACTCCTAATACTCTTTATTTAAATTATTCCTCCCTGAATAGTTAGCAAGAAAGGGCAACTAACTACATACAATTAAGAATGTTAAAAGACAAATATTAAAATAATCTATACCTATTAATACAATAAGGATTTGAGGGATACACAAAATTTAAAACTGTAAAATATGACATCAGAACCCTAAAATAGTGGGGGCTGGTGGTGGTAAAAGCGTAAGCTTGTTAGAATGCATTTGAACTTACGATATCACTAACTTAAAATAGTCATCTATAAGTATAGATTGTTATATAGGAACCTCATGGTAACCACAAACCAAAAACCTATATAATAGATACACACCAAAAAGAGAAAGGATTCTGAACATAACATAGCAGTTATAAAATCAGAAGAGAGAAAGGAAAAAGGAACAAAAAAGAACTATGGAACAACCCCAAAACAATGAACCAAAAGGCAATAAGCTAATTGCTGTTGTGGTTTCGTTGCTAAGTTGTGTCAGACTCTTGTGACCCTATGAACTGTAGCCCACATGGCTTATCTGTCCTTGGGATTTCCCAGGCAGGAATACTGGAATGGGTTGCCATTTTCTTCTCCAGGGGATCTTCCTGACCCAGGGATCAAACCCATGTCTCCTCCATTGGCAGGCAGATTCTCTACCATTGAACCACCAGGGAAACCCAATAAGTGAATACTTATCAATAATTCTTTAAATGTAAAGGGACTTTAGTCCATATATGTTCCAATCAAAACACAGAGAATGAGTGGATAGAAATACAAGAACCATGTATACATTGTCTATAAGAGATTCACTTCAGTCTAAAGACACCTGGAGTGAAAGTGAGGGGATGGAAAAAGATATTCCATGCAAATGAAAATGAAAAGAAAGCCTAGGTAGCAATACTTGAATCAGACAAAATGGACTTTAAAACAAAGGCTGTAACACTAGACAAAGAAGGACATTACTTAATGATAAAGGGATCAATCCAAGGTGAGGATATAACAATTATAAATATATATATACTTATAATAGAAGCATCTCAACATATAAAGCAAATAACTGACACACATAAAAAGAGAAACTGACAGTAATTCAATAGCAGGAAAATGCTTTAAGACTTCACTTAAATCAGTGGACAGATTATCCAGACAGAAAGTCAGTAATTATTGGCCTTAGATGATATATTAGACCAGAAGGATTTAATAGCTACATATGGAACATTCCATCCAAAAGCAACATTCTTTTCAAGTGCACAGAGAACATTACTTAGGATAGAATGCACACTAGGCCAGAAAACAAGCCTTAATAAATTTAATATTTATTAGAGAAATAAATAAAATTCTGACCATAACAGTATGAGACTAGAAATTGACTACAAGAAAAAACTACAAAAAAATACAAACAGCTGGAATCTAAAGAATATGAAAATAAACAACAGTCAATGAATAAGTCAGAGGAAATTATACTTAGAAATAAGTGAAAAATGGAAAATAATGATTCAGTTCTAAGGAACACAGCAAAAGCAGTTCTAAGAGGAAAGTTGATGATGATACAGGCCTACAACAGGAAACAAGAAAAGGCCAAGTTAACAACTTAAATTTACACCTAAAGTAACTAGAGGAAATGGTCAAACAAAACCCAGAATTAGTAGAAGATATGTAAGATCAGGATGAAAATAAATTAGAGACTAAGAAAAATAGGAAAGGTTAATGAAATTAAGAGGTGGTTTTTAAAGGATCTTCTCTAGACAAGAAACATGAGAAAGGTTGTATAAACGCGAACCCCAAACAACAAAGTAAATGGCAACGGGACCATACCTATCAATAATTACCTTAAATGTAAATGGGTTGAATGCCCCAACCAAAAGACAAAGACTGGCTGAATGGATACAAAAACAAGACCCCTATATATGCTGTCTATAAGAGACCCACCTCAAAACAAGGGACACATACAGACTAAAAGTGAAGGGCTGGAAAAAAATATTCCACGCAAATGGAGACCAAAAGAAAGCAGGAGTCGCAATACTCATATCAGATAAAATAGACTTTCAAATAAAGGCTGTGAAAAGAGACAAAGAAGGACACTATATAATGATCAAAGGATCAATCCAAGAAGAAGATATAACAATTATAAATATATATGCACCCAACATAGGAGCACCGCAATATGTAAGGCAAATACTAACGAGTATGAAAGAGGAAATTAATAGTAACACAACAATAGTGGGAGACTTTAATACCCCACTCACAACTATGGATAGATCAACTAAACAAAAAATTAACAAGGAAACACAAACTTTAAAGGACACAATGGACCAGCTAGACCTAATTGACATCTATAGGACATTTCACCCCAAAACAATCAATTTCACCTTTCTCTCAAGTGCACACGGAACCTTCTCCAGAATAGATCACATTCTGGGCCATAAATCTAGTCTTGGTAAATTCAAAAAAACTGAAATCATTCCAGTCATCTTTTCTGACCACAGTGCAGTAAGATTAGATCTCAATTACAGGAAAAAAAATTATTAAAAATTCAAACATATGGAGGCTAAACAACACACTTCTGAATAACCAACAAATCATAGAAGAAATCAAAAAAGAAATCAAAATATGTATAGAAATGAATGAAAATG